TGATTTTAGAAGCACTTTGAAGGAGTGATTTGCTGTAGAGCCACAATCCTGAAAAATTACCCCTCGGCTGAGTCAGTCAGTCATTGATACACGCCTTTAAACCTTTTCAGACATAGTTATCACTTTTAGTGCTATTTTCAAAAGGAAGTAAGATGCCATAATCATGATGAAAAAGACATCAATTCAAAAACACTGAGGTCACTTCCTGTTAAGTAGAAATAAACAATCAACAAACTGTGGCTGAAATAACAGATAGTGTGTAGTTTTCCTGTTACTGGAGAGTGTTGGCAAAGAAAAAATTGTTTCAGGTGAGTTCATGAAATGTGTTTATCTAACAATGCTGTGACCATTTCATTTGAGCAGCCTGCTGCCTCATCTCCTGCAGGTTTGTTGTTTTTCAAACCAACGAAAGAGTAAAGCAAATTGGCACCACAAGATAAAAACATCAGATTATTAAAAGCAGCAACCTATTCAACATTTAGCTGAAAAATGCACCTCATTCTGGTCAGTTGACTTGATCACTTTATTAAAATGTGTTACCAGTTTGCTGTTTAAATGTCAAAGAAGACTGGCCAACACCAAAAAGAAATAAAAGAAAAAAGTCAAAGAAAAAAGAAAGCACCAGGAGTATGACGAGTGGCATTAACAAAGAGGAAACAAAAGCAGATGGTCAGAAATCCTACTTTAAAGGTGAGTGGCCTCTGGTTTTAAATCCTATTCTGTAGGCGATAAACCAAAGCCTCAGTTATCTCCTTTTGTCTGTCTGCAACACTGACAGCGGTGGATGAAGGCATGATGTTTTCAGACGATCTGCACGTCCCCGCCACAGGAACACAATATCTCAGGAAGATCTTGGGGGAATTTATTCAAATTAAATCCAAGCGTGATTAGAATTAGAAATCTAAATTAATGGTCAAAGTTCAAGTGTCCCTTTGACTTTACAACCTTTTGGTTTGCATATTATTTCATCATTGTGGAGGGAATTTGTGGAAATAATCCCAGATGTAAGAACTTAAGCAACAACTTGATGGAGGAAACATGAGTTAGTTTCCAGAAAAAGCAAAGAAATGCAGTTTCTTTGTGATTTGTTTTGGCTTTTCAGACCTAATCCTGAAGACAGCAGGCTTTGGCTGGTGCTAGTGACAAAATATGGGTACTTTGGTTCATTGGTTTCATTGATTTTGTGTTTTACGTTGTATTTTAAAATACGTGACAATTTTATTCAAAAGTAAAAAATAAAATAAAATAAAAGTTTCTTCATATTTTAACCCCTGGTACATTCCCTATACACTATATTAAAACATGCAGTCCTTTTATTTAAAAGAAAACAGTAAAGTAGAAATGATAGTTGATTTTGGGCTGAATGGCACCCTGGCTGGGTGAGCCACATCTTCACTTCCTTCCTAAACAGTGCTTGATGTTTTGATATTCTAATGATGTATCTGTTTGGTTGTGTTTAATTTGTCCTCGGATCAAGTCATCATCAACATGAACTGACTGTAATTTTAGTGTTTTCAGTCAGCAAAGTCATAGAGTTGGTTTTTTTAAATTCAGTTACTAAAGGAACGATCCATTTAGAAATAATGTCAAAATTGGAGAAAAATACAAAAAAAAAAAAAAAAAAAAAAATCAGGATCTTTCAGTTTTCCTTTGTTAATGTAAATTTTTTTATGTGTGACTTGTTTATTTTGGATTTCATCTCACTTGTCCACCTCAGACAATTAAACATAAAATTGTCAAGAGCTTTAATGTGAAGTCGTGAATCATTCTTTTCTTCTGGATTTCTAGAGCTAAATGTCACATTTTCCAAAGCAATACTTTTTTAAAAACACTGGCCCACACATTAAGAAATGTATGGGGCATTTGCTGAATATCCTTCCTCTTTTAAGTGCAAAGCTTTTAATCAAGCAACATGTAAAAAAAGCCAATATATTCGTGATAAATGTGCTCCAACGAACAAATTAAGCACTGAAGTGGCATCAATGAGAGCAAAGTGATCACTAAAACTAACAGTACATTAGAGATGATGACAGTCGGGGCCGGGCATAGGGATTCCTATAGCACTGAGAAATGCTTCAGTACAAATTTAAAACTCATGAGTCAACACTCTTAACACTTATTTAGATTTGAAATATGTGTTCTCAGAAGAATCGCATAAAACTTTAAAGCAGGCCTACACTCACGTTGTTTCAGTACATTTGCTGTGTTTTTTTTCTGTGGAAAAAGGTTCTGGTGCTCCTGTTTCAGGAAGAAACAGTTGGTCAGAGGAGTGGAGGGCAGAAAACGGCAGAATTTGGAGTCTTACTAATTATTATTATTAATCAAAATGCTAACAGCTCGCCCCTGATTGGCTAACAGCAATGCAACTCTTCCACTGCTTTCCTTTGCTCTTCTTTTTTACATGTTTTCATCAACAATAACACGAGTCGTTCAGGCTGTTCAGTGTTCTGCCGTGTTGTGGAGTTGCTAACGTGCTCTCCTTTCTCCAAGTTCATGAATGCAAGCTTTACAGTGTGATGAAGATCTGTGTGGTTTTTCTGACTCGAGAGATTCTGTTTTATCTTGGAGGCTAATTCGGGTTCAGCGTGTTCAGCATGCATGTGATACTCAGCGTGACCAAAGGTATTTGTCAGTGAATGTCTGTTTTGATCATCATTTATAAACTACTTGTTCCAGCTGTTGTACAGCAAAACAAACTGGAACATCTATCCAAATGGATGATTGTACAGAACCAAAACAAACAGGGTTTATAGAAATCCAGCAGTGATGACTGGACAATCCCAACCATGCACCACAGCCAACGGGAGGTCCAACAGACCGAAGGGAGATTGATGCACTGACAGAATGATGAAGATGGAATTGCTCTGATGAGAAGGAAGGCCAGTAATTGCCAACCATGCAGATGTTTTATAATCATTTTATGTGACTAATTGTAAAGTCCCTCAGGATCCAAGTCTCACACAGGCTAATCCATGATGCTCTTTACGGTAATCCATTCAAATAACTCTTCTCCAGCGTCATTGATTAGGAATCCAGGTTGATGGAGGAGTTGGGACTGCTCAGCTTGATAAGGCAAAGGCTGTTGTAACTTAGAGGGAAGAAAGAGTGGTCGCTCCAGTCATCAATGACCTGTTGATGCTGTGAAATGTTGAGTTCTTCTCTCATTTCAAGTATGATATTCCAGGAAATACCAGCAATAATGCAAGAGATAGAAAGCCCACTCTGAGTAAATGCCACAGTTTCTCAAGGTTTAAAAATATTATAATGAAACCTGGAGGAGAAGAGAAATAAGAGCTGTTCTTGAAGGGCAGCAAAGATAACATCAAAGTCATTAAATTGATCTGATATGCATAATGAGCCTAATGAGGATTAGACAGGGATTAGATGTTTAAAGAACAAACATGCCGTTTCTTATACTGCTGACAAGTACAGTGCACAAAGGATAAATAAATAAATAAATAAATAGGACATTAAGTTTTAACCTCTAATGCTGATGGAATTCCAACAAATACATTTAGAAAATTCAAAAAACCTTCAAAGTTTTTTATCCAAATATTGTAATTTTTTTAATAGCTTGAAGGTAGCATTCAATTCAGATTTAAACTATTTGATTGCTGTTGAACAACATTTAAAGATGACACTGTGCACCCCCCATCCTGCCCAGCATCACATGACACCTGAGGAACCCGTGAGCCAGTGGAGTCAAAAGATTGTGCCATTTACGAACATTTATTGCAAGAAAGTGAGTCAGCGATGAGTCACACGGTCACATTCCGTCTGTAAGGGCCACTTAATTAGCACTAATTGTTAAGTGTGCACACTCGCCTCCTGTCACTGTCCCCTCATCAGCCAGTGAAAGCACTCATTTGTTGCTTGGTTACCAGGAAAAATGGCCCAAAACAGTTATTGGTTTCAATGCAAGGAGGGTTTACACAGAATAAGTTTTTGATAGTGAACAAAACAATTTCATTTAGAAAGGACTTACAGTAAATTATTGGCTGTGCTGTGATTCAGACTTTTTATCCATACGGAAGTAAAAGCAAATAAAGAAATTCTGTTTACTATTTTGACATTTTTAACACTTTTATTCAGTAATTTCTGCTTTATTTATGGACAGACTGAAAATTCCAAAAGTGAGATAATCATTGAACTGAGGAAGAACTCCACAAAGTCGTTGTTGTTGGGTATTTTTATAATTGTACCTTTTTGAGGCCTAAAGGATGCCCATTTTGTGTTATTGACACAAAATGAATCTCTGCTTTTGCCAACTGTTGCTGTTCATGAAAGGTTGAGCAAGGATGTTGATTGTGGGTTTCCAACTGAAAACTGTACCTCTGTAACCTGAGAAGACCCGCCTTCTCCCCCATCCTCTTGCTGAATAAAGCCCCTGGGAAACTGAGGAGACTTGGGAGTGACGGGGGAAAAGCCTCGGAGGAGGTTTTTCCCTGCGTTAACTCTCCATTATTTTGGGGACTCAGGGTAAAATGTCTCCCTTATTGTCATGTGTGTTATTTCAGGTTCCAGGGTTATGGAGATTAAATATTACCCCACATGTAATTACTTAACAGTTGTTTTAGTTTTAGTGATGCATATCTGTGACACACACCTGTCAGGATTTCATTTCAATGAATTAATTTGAGATAACTTCCAAACACTTTTTTTATTCACTATTTGAATTTGTAATCAAGTAAGCCAAACTGGGAATGTTGTAATGATCCAAAAGATTCCAACAATATTCTATTTTCACTGTTTCTGTTGCTTGGATGACTAAGCAGTGGGTAAAACCTTGAAGACCACATAAATCCACACTAGGGTGTCCATACTGTCCACTCCCAGGATGACATGTCCTTTGAGTGGCTCGCCTTTGGCGCTGTACTGTTCTTGCTGTGTGTATTGACCAGTGGATTAGTGATGTGATCCTCTTAGAGGGGGTGTTTGCTCATGCAAAGCCTCAGCTGAATCAAGCTACATGCACAGCTGTAACAAACACCAGCACTTACTGCTGTAACCTAGGTTGAAATCCTTGGTGTGGAAACGCATTCCTGGTGGCCTCCAGCAGAGCAGACCTTCTCTAGGTTCTGGTGTTTAGCTCTGCAAGCAAAAAATCACAAGAATCTGTGTTATTGTTTTAAATCTTTGTGATTAGTTTCAGCTCTGTGTAAGAGTTTGAGCTGTCATGCAACTACTGGGACTGTTCTTTGATGCACTTATTCTGAAATCTGCAACATGCATTTTTCATCGTTGCAAGGTCTAAAACGAATTGAGCTCCATGTTTCTTTCCTCTTTTATTGAGGAATGGGAACCACCTCATTAACCTTATCTAAGAAGCGCAAGCTAATGAAATCTTCTGTTTCAGTTTCTTGTCTTGCCAAAGTTAGTTTTACTAATTAATCAAGCATGAGTCCCTCTTCCTCTCCATCATCCTAATGACTTCCTATAAAGCAAGCAAGAATGCACACACTGTCCAGGGGGAGGCTACTTTGGCACATCGTTCATGTTTTTTTACTGGAAGTTGGAATAACAACAGAGGAATGCTTTGCTCAGAGAATATGGAAAGCTTTGTATTCAGAAAATGAGCCTAATAGACATGATACTTGATGTCTTTATTTATTGTCTATGCTCCATCCTTACTGTTGTGTTTTGTTTACAGTGTCTAAACAGAATGCAGCAATGCAAGGCTGCAATTTTCACTCCAACATGCATAAGAATGTATGCATAATACAAGCCTGAGATTGTAGCACAAAGAGTATTTCTACTCCTCCTCATTAAAAAGGAACCAATCTGGTCCTCTCATCCTTTGTGATTCAGAGTGTATGACATGTTGTACCAAATGAAAAGCATGGACAAAATCCAACCATCAAAAATCAGTATTAGAAATCTGCAAAACGGCTAGATTTTCTGAAAATGAGAAGACAATAGATAATGTGATTCAATTAGCTACTAAGGCTACTATTTGCATTTCAGTGAAAGGGTTAATAGTTAAAGTGGCCCAAGGCAGCTGCCTTTCTGCAAAGACCCATGACAACAAAACACAGCTGAACCTAGAGAAAACGGGAGTTTGGGGAGTCTTCAGCTGTATTCTTTTAATTACTCATCATAATGACACCATTTAGATGTTCAATGACCCATTTCACGGCATTGAACAGGCATGGGAAGCTCTCTGTTCTTGGCAGGGTCAGCCCTGCAGCTGCCCCTGCGCTGCTGCGTTTCAACAAAAGCATCCTCTGCCCCTCACAGGGCTTTGGGGGGCAGGTTTCTTTGGCATTTTCCTTTAATACACACTCACACATTCACATAAAACTTATTGCCACAAATGAGGGATAAACTAAATGTCTGGCCACAAAGGAATTTGGTTCAAAAGGTGCTCATTGTATGTGAGAATGTAAAATTTCTTCATGTAAATAATCCTTCTCTAGTAATTGATTTTCCTAAGATCAGCTGAAAAGAAATTAATCTATCCATCTATCCATCTATCCATCTATCCATCTATCCATCTATCTATCTATCTATCTATCTATCTATCTATCTATCTATCTATCTATCTATCTATCTATCTATCTATCTATCTATCTATCTATCTATCTATCTATCTATCTATCTATCTATCTATCCATCCATACATCCATACATCCATACATACATACATTCCTATATAAGGAACCCAGCAGATTGCATGGAGTCACTGACTAGTGTCGGAGTCTTTACAACAATCCTCATACTAAGCATGCATGCAATGACAGCGTAGAGGAAAATTCCATCCATCCATCCATCCATCCATTCATCCATCCATCCATTCATTCATTCATTCATTCATTCATTCATTCATTCATTCATTCATTCATTCACCCATCCATCTCAAACAAATGAATGGTCTAGAAAAGATTTATGGTGGCAAAAATGGCCGAATTTGCTAATTCAATTAAATTCACTACAAGAGTCTTCTCAAGACACTTTCCAAAGTAAACATTCCAATTTTATCTATTTGTCATTATTCCAATTAGTTAAAAGTTTCCTATTTAAGGAAACTCATAATGCATCAAGTCACTGACTAGTGTAAGACACTTTACAGAAATCCCCACCTAAGCAAGCATGTAGTGACAGTGAAGAGGACAACTTCCTTTGAACAGGAAGAAACCTCCAACAGAACCTGGCTCAGTATAAGCAGCCATCCGCCACTCACTGGGGGTCAGTTTCACATTTTCCAAAATGTTTGCAAAGAAAAAAAATAAATGCAACTTACAACTTCTCAGGACAGAAAAAATGCATTTCAATTCGAAATCTTTTGGATTAATTTTCTCCTAAAACGTATAAAACACAATGGAGAATTCCAAGTTAATGATTTAAGGCGAGTTATGAGTTTCTCTAACCATACTAAAATGTTTAGGATAGTTTAAACATCATAAATCACGTTGCAAAATGGGTATGTGACATTACACAAATGGGAAATTTGTGACGTTTTTTTAAATATTGCAGTAATGTGATAAACTCTTTGTCATGGTTTGTGTCTGCATCTCCCCTCATGCGTCTCCTTTTGTCCTCCATTCGTCTCTAGGCGCTCATTTTGTGTCTTCTAGCACCCTCGTGTCATGTCTGCGTCTTCCTCATGTGTCTCCTGGTGTTCCCCATTTGCCCCTCAGATCCGGTGTTCATTCAGGCATCCCCAGCCCCTCTAGTTGTAGCTCCAGCCTCTTTGTCCCCAGCTCGGTGTGTGTGTGTCATTCCCCAGCTCAGTGTGTGTGTGTGTGTGTGTGTGTGTGTGTGTGTGTGTGTGTGTGTGTGTGTGTGTGTGTGTGTGTGTGTGTGTGTGTGAGTCCTTCCTCAGTCTTTTGGTTTAGTTTTGGATTTCATAGTTTTAGGTTTATCTGCCCTCCACTGGTTCTCTTCCCCATTTAGATAATTGTTGTCACCTTCCTTCCCTCCAGCCCTCACTCCACACACCTGCTTCCTGTTTCCCTAATTGCTCCTCCCAGTGTATTTAAGCCCTGTCTTGTCTCTGTGTTGTGTCGGTCCATTACTGTTGTCAGCGTTGTTTGCGCTCCATGTGAGCTTTATGTCTCCAGGTTTTGGTGCTCTAAGTGAGCTTACGGTGTCCTGAGTTCCAGTACTTTTGGACTTTGTGCGCTACATGAGCTTATGTTCTAGTTACCAGGGTTTTTGGTTTTTTGGCTCGCTGCCTTGTGGATTTATTTTGTTTCATCCTGCCAATAAAAGGATTTTTACTTTTACCAACTCCTGCTCAGGGGCGGCATTAGGCCTGGCTACTTGGGCACAAGACCCGGATGTTTTATGATAAGCCCCGGATCTAAATCGCAGAAGTAACATGCAGTACCAAAGTCCAACAGAGAGGGAGCAGCTGGCAGCTGGCAGTAGTTTGTATACAGCCTGCCTGAGCCTCCACCTCTGAAGAAGAAGCCCTTCAGCAGCCGGCTTCTTCTACACTCTCTGCCTGAAACGCATGAGTGAAGATGGACATAAGGACGTTTTTTAGACCAAAAGTACAACGACAGAACCCCAGCTTTGACGAGACTGGTGTTGACTCAGGTTTGTGAGTCTTATTTGAAAATATTTGTTGCGCTGCTGGTTTGCCTAAAGTTAGCTTCCTATCAGGTAAAGTTGTTGGAGAAAGAACGGGAATATTTACTATCATCTCACACTAAACACTAACAGGAACAATACTCTGCCCTGAAAATGCTTAATATGTAGCTTCAGATTAAAAATTATGTGGTACAAGACAAATATATATGATGTTGACTAGTGCGTGTCACGTGTGTGTGTGTGTGTGTGTGTGTGTGTGTGTGTGTGTGTGTGTGTGTGTGTGTGTGTGTGTGTGTGTGTGTGTGTGTGTGTGTGTGTGTGTGCGCGCGCACGTGTGTGTGTGTGTGTGTTAAGCCCCGGATATTCTTCAGTCCTAAATCCGCCCCTGCTCCTGCCTCTTGTCGTCTGGGTAATCTGCATTTTGGGTCCTACCTTCCCCTCAACGTGACACTCTTCTGGAAATAAGAAACCAGTTTTGTAAATCAGTAGTAGCCCTGGCACCTTAAAGAGTATTTTTTTTTCATGTTTGGTTTTATGGGATTATTAAAGAAGGAAGGAAGGAATGTGGGATCACACATACTTTGTGGAGGGATAAACTGTATTAGGAAGCATATAGGAAAGTATAGTAGGATCAAGGAGCGAGGAGAGGTGATAACCTAGGATAAATTATTTAATTTCAGAGGCAACTGATCGGGAGATTGTATCTGGTCTTATTGTACATGTCTGTGCATGTGAGTGAAATATGTCACTGAGCATTTGTGATAAATAAAGAAGTTAAAACAAAGACAGCAGTTTTGCCACCGACACAAAACAAGACACAGACTGATCGTGGAGGAAAAAAGAACTTTGTCTGGAAGAGGACGTCTCTTGGGTGCCAAGTCCCCTGCCTCATGGGTGTTTTGATCATTCTTCACAAAAATAAACTGCCTCCAAATGTGGCCTCTCTGTCAGATGTTATACATTACCAGCTAGCACCAAATGTGTGTAAATCCTACCTGCTGAACAGTGAGGTATCCATGGCTTTTCATGTTTGCCAGGCCCAGCTCTGGTATGTGATGACATGCTGGTGAGAATGTGTTGGCAACTGCAAAAAAGGATTTTTGCAAAATTGTATGGTGTGAGTGGATTTTCCTGGTCTGATGAGTGGTTTTGCATTGCCTGTCCTTGTAACACAGACTTTTATTCTCCCCACGAGGATTGAACAACGCACCCACATTAGTTTAGCTGTGGAGGTCAAGTTCCTGCTTCGACTGCTACCTTGTTATCCTCCAACATTATTGATTCTGGAAGCACCGGTTGGATTTATATTCGTATTCACAATACTGTAGGTGAAAACGGGGGAAGCAAAGAGCACAATCCAGGACATCCTTCTTCCTAAAGGACACCTTCTGGCTGTTAGTTTCAGGTGAGGTGTAACAAGTGTAAACGCAGGTCAGGTGTGTGTGTGTGTGTGTGGGTGGTGGTGGGGGATGGGGGGGGGGGGGGGTAAGGCGGGAGGAGCGACTGATCCAATATGGTGTCAAGGAGCAGGATTGCTGGCCCAGGTCCACAATGCT